TGGAGGGTCAGAGAAAAAGAGGAAGACCCCTAATGAGATGGATTGGACTCAAGTGTGTCAGTGGTAGTGAAGTTGGCCCAGGATCAGACATTGTTTCGTTCTACTGTGCATGGAGTTGCTCTGAGTAGGTTCCAACTCAATGGCACCTAACAACAACAACATAACTATTCAGTAAAACCAAGTAGATATATGTTGTTGCTAGAACTGAGATACTGCATGTGAGCAGTTACAACACTAGACTAATTATTGTACTTTAAAAAAAAATGGCAAAAAAAAAAAAAAGAAACAAAAGAGACATGATCAGATGAAAGTTATGGTGCCAATATATGTGTTTTAGGAAGTAAGCTAAAACCACACATGTGTTCTATAAAGTGTGAAAAAACAACATGGAGTTGGCATAGAACCAGACATTTGTCTATACAGTCAAATTATTTCTATAAAATAAGAAAAACAAAGGACTGTTTTTTTCATATAAAGACATATTTGGATTGATGTGCAGAATACAAAAATCATTTCATAATGGTACTGTTTAGAGATAAGCTGATATTATAGTAAAGTAAAATATCATAATCTTTAAAAATCTGTTTTTATTGTATTTTCTTATAGTTAGAAATTGAAGCCCCTCCTGGTACAGTAGTTGGTTATGTTGCACAGAAGTGGGACCCCTTTCTGCCTAAATTTGCAATCCAAAATGCAAACAAAGAAGATATTTTGAAAATTGTTGGTCCTTTTGCAACATGTGGCTGTTTTGGTGATGTGGACTTTGAGGTAGGATTGACAAAGTGAAGGATGTTTCTGTTAGGTCCTTAATGTTTGCAACATAATTCAATTGCATAATTTGTCTCTTCCTGTTCTGGAATTCCTATCATATGTAAGTTATTCCTCTTGATAGTGCCTAACATAAATCTTAGGCTTTCTTCAGACTTTTTGTTCTTTTTTCTGGTTGTTCCTGTAGCAGATGATTAGTAAGAGATTTTTCTTTAAGCTCAATAATCCAAATTTTCATTGATTCAATTCTATTTATTTTGCCTGTCAGTATATTATCTATTTTTGAAGTCTTAGTGTAAAGCTTCTGGCTTTCTAATTTCTGATTTTGTATATTGTTTTTGTTACTGTTAAGTGCTGTCAAGCTCGTTCCAACTCATAGTGCCACTGTATAGTGTTTCCAAGGAGCAACTAGTGGGTTTCAACCACTGAGCCTGCAGTTAGCAGTCCAGTGCTGTACTACCACCACACGAGGACTCCTCTTAGCTATCTAGTGCTGCTAAAACAGAAATACCTCTGCAACATATGGCATCAGCAAGAAGCAGAATCAACCCCATAGTAACTAATAACAACAAAAACAGCAGCAGCGAATGTGGTATAAGCAAATATATGTAGTTTAGAATCACTTCTTTTCTCTGCTCCCAGTGGTTACATATCCTAATTTGGATCTCATATCAGAAACACATTCCATTAAAATGGCACTAATTTACAAGCTACACTCACAAGACTTGCTAACTTAATTCCTATAATTATCTCATATAAATATATCTATCATTTAAATATGTTAACTGTTAAAAACAGCAGGTAGTTGCAAATTCAGTCTATTACAACAAGGATTATAACAGCTTTGCCTAGAAATAATGCATTTTAGGGAGAGGATATGATCTTCTTTTAAAGTTTATATTTATTTTTCATTAATTAATTCATGTATATCTCATGAAGAATATTCAGTTTGTAGGATTTCAGTGAACGCTATTCATATAGAGTACACTGTAACTTTTGCAAACGGAGCTTTTCTAATTCCAGTCATTCCAAAACAATTTGACAGGGTTTTCCTAAGAGTATGGATACAAATATGTCTTATGCTGAGGAGAACTTAAACACAATTTTTTTGTGTTCATGATATATAGAAGCCCTCTATAGCTTTCTTTGGTTTCTATCATATACCAGCTGACCATGAACCCCTTCCTCCAATATAAAGTGAAAGTTTAAATTGCATCACTTTTATAATGAGAATAAGAAAGAGGGCAAACTAAAGAATCATTTACAAACTTGATTTGTAGATTCCTTGTAGCTGATAATAAGGACTGGTAGGCTCTTGACTTCAAATTAGTCTGAAGTTCTTGTGTGGTACATGAGCCCCAGAATGGATTTTTATATAAAAATAGCACTTGACACTAGTTAGAAAGGAATACTGTAAGTAATGTCTGAGTATAACAAAAAAAATGACATTAAGCAAAGGCCAGTCATTTTTATATGTGTTAATAGCTTTTAAGTCTTTCCAATAAAAATGTGTAAGCTTTCAAATTATACCTATATATTAATTTAATTTCTTCTAAAATCTTTCTTAAGCAGCCTCTCCTTTTTTCTTTCTTTTCTTTCTTTCTTTTTTTTTGCTTGAAATAGAGAATTTATATTTAAATCAGGTTATGGATTCGTTTTTATATTTGGACTATACTCAGATAATTGATATCATGCACCTGCTGCCATCTGGTGGTTCTCTAGTTTTAATTCTAAATTGCTATTATACTTCCTTCAACTGCCTACACAAAAAGGAAAGAAAAATAATTCAGACAGATTGCAAAAGTGTTAGAAAAACAAAATTTCAGAAAAGTAAACTGCAAAGTAAAATTAAATCTACAAACCCAAGCTTACATAAAGGAATGAATAATTTCAAATTTTCATTTAGAGACTACAATAAAATTATTTAAATCTCTCAGGATATAAACATTCTAGGAAATGTAAAATCATCCCTTTTCAATGTCAAATTCAAAGTCTCTTTTTATTATTTTGTTTTCAAAGGTGAAAACCATCAATGAAAAGCTTACCATTGGGAAGATTTCAAAGTACTGGTCAGGATTTGTAAATAATGTCTTTACAAATGCTGACAACTTTGGCATTCACGTTCCTGCAGATCTAGATGTGACTGTTAAAGCAGCAATGATTGGTGCTTGTTTTCTTTTGGTAAGTATGGGTATAAGGAACATGAATGATTTATTTTTCTCCTTCTCACTTGTTAATTAGTATAGAGCCAATGCATAGGCTAATTTGAGAACAACATACATTAGAAACCAGAATAAGATGATCTTCATTTCTACTAGGCAGCCTGATTCCACACATGACAAATGTCACATCTACTTTCAGGAAGTCAATTCTGAATCAAGGTTACAAATGTATTACCAAATAGAATAGTTCGAGAGGGTTTTCTTGAGTTCAGTCTTCAAGGCAGCATATCATGAAGGCTTTTTTCCAATAGTTCTTCTTCAGTGGTTCTCAAACTCCCTCTTCCTCAATGATCGATATCCCATCACATACTACTTCTCATTTCCTTAAAATCTGAGCACCTAATGCCTTTCAGGCAGGCCTGGTGTGGCACTGTGAGATAATGCACTGGACTGTAAGGTCAGCAGTTCAAACTCACCAGTTGCCCCTTGGAAAACCTATAAACGGTCACTATGAGTCGGAATCCACTCAACGTCACTTAGCAACATTGCCTTTCAACTTTAATGTAGATTTTGGGTTTATTGTCACTTTAACTATAAAAGATCATGTAAACAAAACACCTCACTATTTATCCTGCATAAATTTCAGGATTCATTCAATATTTCATGATAAACTAATGGTATCACAATGTGAAAAGTGATGTTTTCATGCCATCCTAAGGTACATACATAGAGGAGGTGATATGGAATAGCTAAGATACACAAGTTCCCATTAAGATATAGGTATTATGTCTTTGTCCTTCCTTTCCAATTTATCATTCAGTTTAAAACACTTTCTTCTTTGGTGTGGAGATTGGTGAGATAAGAAAACAAAAATCATGGAATGTCTGTGCTAAAATGCTTGGCCATCTCCTGTTCCAAATTGCCTTATCTTCCGTATAGCTTGTCATTTTCACTATACCCATGAAAGCTTAAGGGATTTTTAAAGTAAAATTGGGGTCTTTCTGTTCCATTTTGTTGCTCTTTGGGGCTTTAAAATCCAAATTTTACAGGTATATTAATGTGAACTCCCAAGGAATAAAAGGATTCTGTATGGTCTAGTACAAGAGGAAGTCCATGCATATTGGGAGATGACACCATCAGTTACCACCATGACTGATATTAACCCTAGTCATGCCATGGGTGTCTATTACAACTCTTTGTACTAACTCAGAATGTCCTGCAATCTAATTCTGCAGAATTGTGATCTCCCAAGAACTTAACTGGTGATGCTATACTAATTTAAATAAGGTTTCCAAATTACTTGGCCTCTGAAAATTATTCATGTAACCATCATGAAGTTTAAGACCTTTCAAGTTTTCTGCTGCTGATAAGTCACATGTTCTTGGAACACCCCTGGGAAATATAACTGCTTTTCCTAATCAAAGCTTACATGTCAGACTTTGGATCTTAATTGTTGCCTTTTTGTAGATGCACTCATATTAACTATTTATTTGTAGGATTTTACATTCTTTGAACATTCACTGGCTGGATTATAACAAACAATTTGATGAAAACAATAAAATATGCAGAGCATATTTCAGTAAGTAAAAGGCAGCTTTAAATCATCTCTTTCTCATTGAAGATGTCTATATTTGACAATATCTAATTCCTTTTCATTCTCTCCTAGAAACCCTTTGGGCTCTGGATTTCATTTCAAAATGGTTTGAGTATCTGCTTTTTTTTTTGTAACAAAATGTTAATTACGGTATTTATTAAAACAAAATTTAATGAGGCAATTATCTAGTTGTGAATATATGATGGCTAAACACAAGATTACTGGCCTGAATACAAGGTTACTTTGAGAGATTACCATTTTTTCCTTTTTATCCTTTTGAAGTTCTTGCATGGGTAAGCATGAAAGATGAGAACTAAGGCTTGCAGCATTGCTGATGAAAATTCAATGTTTAGAGAACACTTTGAAGTTTTTTTTTTCTGGTACTATGCCTGGTTACTAATCAAAAGAACTGAATTTTTAAAATGTGTTTTCAAAACTAGTCCCTTTTAGTTTTATTTCTTAATTTTTTTTATTGTAGTAAGATATTCTTACTTTAAATTAGAAAGGTTAAAATTAAGTAAATCATATGTCAAAAAATGCAGAAGAGGATATATGTAAATCCATTCATTCTATGGGCAAGAGGAATACTTACATTTCAAAACGAAGCTAATATTTACAAACTAAAATGTGGTTTAAATACCTACTTAAAAAGTGTCTAAATAGATCCTAAATCAGTAAACCAAAGTTTAAAACCAAACACACTGTCATAAAGTCCATTCCAACACATAAAGACCCTGTATAGCATTTCTGATGGCACCTAACAACAACAACAAATACAGTTTCTGAGGCTGTACATCTTTCCGGGAGTAGAAAACCTAATTTTTCTGCTGTTGAGTCATTGGTGAGGTTGAACAGCAGTGGAAATAAAACAGGGAGTAAAGCTATTTGCAAGGAGCTCTGGTAGCATAGTGGTTACAAAATCAGGCTGCTAACGTCAGGGACAGCAGTTCGAAACTACCAGCTGTTCCACGGGAGAAAGATGCAGTTTTCTGCTCCCGTAAACCCTGTACAGGGTCTCTATGAGTTGGAACCGACTCCACGGCACATAACTATTTGCAGTGAAAGTTTGGTCAATAAAGGGATCAGACTTTGAAAAAATAGACAACTGCAGACCTAAAAATAAACAAATGAAACCGTAGTTGATGCGGCAGCATAGATGTCTGAAAGTTGTTGTTAGGTTCCATTGATTCAGTTCCAACGTATAGCGCCTGTGCACAACAGAACAATACTGCTCAGTCCTGTGACACCCCTTACAATGATTATGTTTGAGCACATTGTTGCTGCCACTATGTCAGTTCATCTCATTGGATAGCTTCATCTTTTTGGCTGACCCTGCACTGTATCAAGCATTATGTCCTTAACCAGGAAATGGTCTCTCTTGATAACATGTTAAAGGTACGGGAGATGAAGTCTTGCCATTCACATCTAAGAAACATTCTACATTTACTCCCAAGATAGATTTGTTTGTTCTTCTAGCACTCCATGGTACTTTCAATATTCTCCAGCACCATAATTCAAATGCATCAACTCTTCTACAGTCTTGCTAATTCATTGTGCAACTTTCACTCGCATATGAGGTGACTGGAAAATATCATGGCTTGGGTCAGGTCCACCTTAGTCCAAAAAGTGATATCTTTGCTCTTTAATATTTTAAAGAGGTCTTGTGCAGCAGATTTTACTAAATCAATATTTACTTGATTCTTGACTGTTTCTTCCATGAGCCTTGATTGTAAATCCAAGCAAAATGAAGTCTTTGACTTCAATCTTTTATCCTTTTATCATGACGTTATTTACTGGTTTCATTGTGAGGATTTTTGTTTTCTTAATGCTGAGATACAATCCATGCTGAAGGCTATAGTGAAGGAAGTAGTGAACTCAATATTAACTAATGATTCCTACTTTAATGTTTTTGGAGTTCTCCATATTATTATGCCTATGTAGATCAGAAGCGCATACAAAAGAGAAAAAAAACACACAAATTTCAGTGACTGATAACAGTTTTCTCCCTTTTTTAGAAATGAAGGAATATATTTGCATTACTGTTTTTGATTCTAGTTTAGATTTATATAAATACTACTACCAAATTTCTATCCACTTATAATAAAGTTTAGAGAAAATTAAGGCAATCCTTGATAAGGGGAGTATATTCCAAGGATCTGTTGTAGTTAGTTGTTTGAAATTATTGTTGTTAGCTCCTGTAGAACTGACCCCAACTCATGGATTCACAATGGAACAAAATGATCTGAGGTCTTAGGGGTTAGACTATTGTGCTCAATATGGTGTTCATTGATGGATTTTCCAGAAGTAGATTTCCAAGCCTTTCTTCCTTGCTTGAAATTAGGAACTTGCTGCTGCCTAGAAATAACATTGTCTGTGGTAGTTAAGTTCATAAAATAGCCCACACATATTAGTTTAGTTTGAAGTTCTTGGTTAGGAGTCACTGTATAAGGATGAAAGGAAGAGAAACTATTTCTCATTTTCTGGTTCCATTTACTTTATTATTTTCTTGTCCTTTCTTTGCACCTTCCCTTGGCATGTAGAAAGTAAGTTTTGCCGCAAATCAACCATAGAAGATCTTCTTTCTCCATGTAGGGCAGAGCAGTTTAAGTCTTGTCCACCAAAAATAATCAGGTCTCAAAATAGCACACAACTTTTCTTTCAGTCATTCCTCCCCTTCCTTCACTGTAACTGAAATCATCCATGTGTTGAGAGCAATGTAGTCTTGGGAAAAAAAGTTCTGTTGTAAGACAGACACCATCTTGACTGTAACTGTGCAACCTTGAACCCATCACTCAGCCTTTCTGAGTCGCCTCAGGTAGCCCATGTGCTACTTTTCCGTGGTGATGGTGGAGGGGAGCTCAACATTTCCTCCCTTCCATCTTCAATAACATTTCCTCTTAAAATAGCACTTTAATATGCAAGCTGTCCCTGCTATTTTAAAAATTCAAATTAATTTTCTTAAAATGAGTAAAAATATTTCTACAACTCCTAGAGAATCATTGGAAATAAATTCCTTCTTAGAATCTAGCACTCATTTTAAACTTGGCTGCATTGAAGTAAAAACCAGCTTTGTTGCTTTACTTTTAGTGTATCACAATACACTAAGGTCCATCATCTCTCCCCTTCCTCGTTAAAGGGGAAGTTGATCTTTTTGTCTCTCTTATGACCTCTTTTTTCCATTTACCAACAAACATAAATCCCTGAGAGACTAGCAAGATTCTCTGAGAGTTAACAAGATCCTTTGATTTTCATGCAATTTTAGAGCAAAGCAGATTCTATTCCTATCCCTAAGAGTCCTGGTGTGGCACTGTAGGATAGGCAGTGGACTGCTAAGTGCATACACATCCCTGTTTCCCAATTTATGCCTTTCTCAGCTTCTCTGCTCACACCCTAACTTCCCACTTCCCCATAGCCCTCCTTCCCC